TGAGAATAGACTTACTGGAAGGGGTACAGGAGAATTATAAGTTCCTTGGGCTCCGCTTCTCTTCTGCGCGAAGCTTCATTGGTTCTCTCTTCCTCTTTAATAGAATCGATAGAATCATTAGACTTCCTAGATAGTTATGCTCAAAGCTCCCATCCATCACAACTATGAATCCAGCCTTTCCTATCTGTTTATTACCGCCGACAAATGAAAGATATGGAAAACATGTTCATTTGAAGGTGTCGACTCATCGTATCTGATGATTCACGAATGGCAACGAGTTACTGAGCATATGAGGGACACACCCAGAAAAAAAGATAGCGTTGGACATCGAATGAGTGAGGTAGGTCATGAATATATCGTTCTACGCTTCCTCAGCTATTCACGAAACGCACCTGGGATTCCTTTCGAGATCCCACCCTGTTTGAAAGTGGCGACGTCGAGGGGGACCATCAGTGCAGAAATGGCTGAAAAAGATGCGAACTAGCTTCACTTATCCCCGAATATATTTATAGGTCCTTTCCGAAGTTGGACCAGCAATTCTGATATCGTGTTTGACCAACGTTTTCGCTGACGCTGTTGGTTCGTTCACCTCATCACCGGAGATTACCCTGCTCTGTACTGGCAACATGCTGTCCATGTGTGTTGCCTTCGTCTACCAGGTAATGATCAGCTTGTTTATTCATCTAGCACGCTTTATCATCTACTATTACCTATTATCATATTTTATTACTCATTATCGCCAATCTCAAGGCGATCCATATTTTCGATTTCTTGATAAGTTGATAGCCTTTTGAATTACAAGTCATTGCGAACAAATTAGTTTCCATTTCAATTTGCAAAAGCTTTGCTTGAATCTTAGAAATTTTCGTGCCCTTCTTCATTCCATATTGGGTTCTACTCACCATGTTGCCATTTAGATGACATTCTACGCCGGCTTAATGACCCTTGTGGGAAGGCGTGAAATCGGTGAAGATAACGAGGAAAAGAACCGAACAGCGATAAGCATCGCCGAAAATCGCGTGAACATTGCCAAACATCATCGGACACTTACGGTAAGCCTAAGTTTAACAAACAGTTCCAGAACTAAGATCTGCAACATTGATAAGCACTCAAGCGTAGGCAATAGCTAGTCGGGTCTCTGATGTTCTCAAAAAGGCGATGGTGGCATCGTAAGCGTATCTGATCAGAACCCTGACAGCAATTGAAGTCTTAAAAGCACCGGGGACCCCCGGAGTGGAAGCGCATTTTGCGGGACTTTCCCTATCCTCTGATCATTAACACCTAGCCTATCAGAAAGAGTTACACACCAATAGGAAGCTAGCAACCAGCAAATGCACCAATGAACCTGTATATATGACTGTTCTGAGAAAATATCTCAACATTTCACGCGCCCTCAGTTGGGGAAGGACCAAAACAAAAGCAACGCGTTTTTTGATGCGGGACTGTTCTATCAATAGGCCTGAGTAGGAGCCACAGGAGCAACCTTGTGAATGATGAACATTGTAGCCGGATTTCCACGGTTCCAGCGATGCACGCGGCGATGGTTTTGCGGCAATTGCCACAATCAATCATTGAAAATTCAAATCTCTCTCAATTTGTGATAGAGTAGTTGAAGTAGGACCAGGAATGAGATAAACTCTTACGAGGTACTGGAAAGCTTTGAAGAGTCACCATTTAGACCTCGAAAAATATTTTTGAAAAAAAGTGAAAACAACTTTAAAAAATTGCTTTTTCTTCCAACTGAAATTTGAATGAGCTACTGTAAAATTTTCGGCTGATTTTAGCTTTTTTATTTTTTTCGGGCCACTCTTTGACAGTCTGACGCACCAGTTGCATTTATGGTGTGCGTGCGCTGCCGGGTAGAGACGCTAAATTCTCGTAACGTAGTGAGCGGCACATTTGATAACAAATGTTGCGTAATATGCATCCTACGCTGACTCTCTCTCCCCGTTGCACAAAGGCGCCGCACGCGACGCGCGGAAAATTCGCTTTTTGATTCAATGTTACATGTGTAACTGTAGCTTAACTAGTTCTGAATAATTAATTGAATTCTCTGTTGAAATTAAAATTCTAGCGCCAACCATCGAAATTCCACGAGGCCACCAAGCCAGTGATAAGTAAATTCATGAAGGAATACGTCGAAATAATGACAACTCCAGCA